CTGCCAGCTATGTGTGCCTGGGTCTCAGGCAGGAGTGTGAGTTGTTGGGTGTGGGGTGTTGCCTGGCCTGGGCCCCTCTGCCTGCCTATGCTTGTGCTCTGAGGGCAGCTGGGTGGGGACGCAGTGGCCTGCCACTCTGGGCTGTGAGGCCAGGCCTTGCTTTCAGCAGGGTCCTCAGCCCAGGAGCGGGTCAGATTCCTCTTCACTTCCTTCCTCCAAGTGGTTCCAGGTTCATGCCATGGGAGGGAATGCAGTAGCTGATAAAGAAAGAGGCCCTGAAGGGGAAGATGAAGAGTCCAGGTTGGAGGGAACACACAGGCTGGCGGAGCAGGGACAGGCCAGGCAGAGAGTGGGCTGGGAGATGGCCTCAGGCCCCAGAGAGTGCAGAGGCTCAGGGAACAGTGTGGGGGTGTGCCCTCCCAGTCCTCTCTTGTCTGTCCCCGCAGGACATAAACAGTGCCTATCTGCGCAAGGCAGACCTAGAGGCCAATGTGGAGCCACTGAGGGAGGAGGCCATCTTCCTGAGGACCCTCTACGAGGAGGTAACATAAGGGCATTTGGGGTGTGTCCCCTCCTGGTTCCTGGGTCCTAGGTACATTCTTTACCTTCCTAGGGCCAGAACACCTTCCTTTCTGTGACCCCAAGGGACTTTCCTCTTGTTTAGGCCTCCTCTCACAATGGGTGATTCTCTTCCTTTAAAATGATTTGAGAGACTGTGATTCACTCCCTGTCCACTTGGCATGGCTGGGAATGGAGATCTGACAATTCATTCCCTCCTTTGGGTAGTGTAAAAACCCAGTTAGATAACCCAGGATGTTAACTCTGGCTGTTCCCCGATAGATTCCATTTGGACGTGTAGCTACAGCTGGTGTGAGGAGGTCAGGGCCAGCGGTGCAGAGACCAGGGGGTCTGCACACACAGAAATCTATCTTTGGGGATCCAGGTGCTAGTGGAATTCTCCCTTGCTCACTGCCTGGGCTCATGGGCCTCTTCTTCTCAAAGCTACATTTCTCAAACGTCCTTCCTGGCTGGTAGTTTTCTAATTTCTTTCTTAAGGTCTGGAGATGGGGCTGATTGCCCACACAGATGGGATGGGAGGGGGATTTGGAGTCAAGGGCACTGGTTGTCTCCCACAGGAAATCCTCATCCTTCAGTCACAAATCTCTGAAACCTCAGTGGTGGTGAAGATGGACAACAGCTGGGAGCTCAATATGGACATGGTCTTGGCTGAGATCAAGGCTCCGAAGGATGGTATTGCTAGACGCAGCCGGGCTGAGGCCAAGTCCTGGTACCAAACCAAGGTAAACGGGAGGGGAGGTTGTCCCTCTGAACCAGGAGGATGGCTGTGAACCTGGAGCTGCCTGGGACATGCACCCATGCACCCCAGAGGGGCTGCACCTGAGGTCCTAGGCAGAGCAGGGCCAGGGGGTGGGACCGCTACAGAACCATGGGCTGGCTAGTAAGACTCTCGTGGTGACATCCCGCTGCGCCCTCCAGCTACCACGTCTTCTATATATTTGCCTCCCAACCTGCAGTGCGAGGAGATGAAGGCCACAGTAACCCAGAAGAGTGAGAATCTTTGCAAAAGCAAGGATGAGTTCAACCAGCTGAACCGCAGCATCCAGTGGCTGACGGCAGAGGTGGAGAACGCCAAGCAGCAGGTCAGGGATGCGAGGGCCCTTGGGGCCTCAGCCACTCCTCTGGTTCTGTTTTCCTGCTCTCTAGGGAAATGCCACGGTCTTTGAAGAGGCTTGCATTTTATCTGTGCCAGAGAACTCATCCCCTCTCCTGTTGCCAGCACTTGCCATTTGACTTCCCAGTGCTTATGGATTTGATAGATGTAAATAGCATCAATCTTTTATTTCTCTGGTTTATGAGTCATAAGGAAATGTCCTCATGCACTTGCTGGTCATTTGTCCTTCCCCTCCTCAGGACTGCCTGGGTGTGCCGGTTGCCTGATTTCCTACTGGGATTCCTGTCTTTCTCTTGGTGATTTGTAGCATTGCCAGTCCATTCCATTCTATCTAGATTGTAGCCCTTTGTCAGTTGAGTATGTGTTGTGATCCATTGATCCCCTCTCAGTGCTCGTCTGTTTGCTTTGCTTAGGGTCCTCTTCTGAACAGAAGCCTTCATCCTGGATGTGGCCAAATCTATCAGTTCTTCCCTTAGGGGCTTCTACTTAGAAAGTTTTGAGATAAACCATAGTGGCCTCTAATATTTTTGTCTCCTATTAAATTATAGCATTACCTCTCACATTAAATTCTTCAGTCCATTTGAACTTTATTTTTTGCCTATATAGTGAAGAGGGTTTCTGTTGAGAGCCACAGCCCAAGGGGCCCCAGCAAACTTCCAGCTGCCAGTTGATGATTGGCTCACAGCTGCCCCAGCAAACTTCTAGCTGCCAACTGATTGGCTCCTCTGCGGTGATGTTTATTGGGCTATTTCCCCGCCCTTTCAGACCACGGAGCTGCTCATTGGGGGAATTTTTTTGGCTTTGCTCATGCGACCTAGCCAATCAGCCTCAAGAGAATGAGGAGTGGGGGAGGTTGAGAGGCTTGTGGGAAGCCGGTGGTGGCAGTTGGGCTCTGAAGGTTTTTCCTGAGGAGCTGTTTTGTTTGGTGTGTGTGGTTCTCAAAATAAAGTTCGTTTCTTTTGACAAGTGGCTCCTGAATTGTGCCCAGCCAGATTGCTGCAGGTTTCAAATTTAATCTTTCTACGTATTGTAAGAAAATAAATAATGCATTCTCTGTCCCCGATGTGATACCACTTCTAACGGAATGCTGAGCTCACACCTAAACCTGGCTCAATTTCCATCCTTTCCCTCTTGTATGGCTCTTCTCAACTACAGTTCTAGATGTATCACAAGTGACTTGTCACTAGTAGTAGTTGAGCTAATGGCATGTGGGAACAGATTACTATGTAGAAAGGAAACTGGAGAAGGTTTAAAGTAGTCCCCATCCTGATGTTGGTCTTGCTCATTTGCATCTCGATGGTCCCTCTCGGTGGGACAGAAGGTGAGGCTGGAGTCCAGTCTGAGGGCAGTAGCTGTTCTTTGGACTCATGGGGCCAAACAGTGAGATCCTGTATAGTGGCTTCTGAAACCTGAGCTTGTCATTGCTTAATTGGGTAGCCTAGGAAAAATCACAGCCTCTCCAACTCTCAATTTCTTCATCTGCCTAATGGGAATAATCATGCCTGTTCTGACAAGCCCAAAGAATCACATTGAAGGTCAAATAAGATAATATCTGTGAAAATGCCTTGTAAACTAACATTGGTGTTCAAATCTATGGTAATATCACTAATGATATTACCATATCATTAATATCATGATATTACCAACGGAATCTGCGCTTTGTTAACATTTCCTCCCTCTAATGGTTGGCTTGTAAAACTCAACTGGGTTATACAATAAAGTGGTACAAAAATGAAGGAAAAAAACTCCAAATGAGCTATTCTTTTTCTGCCCAGTGAATTTTCCATTCATCCATTCCTTTGAGAAAGCATCAAACTCAGAAGTTGACCATTTTAAACAGAGGCAAATAGGATGACCAAGGCCACTGGAGAATTATCAAGGACTCCAGGGTCTGCGTGCCCTTTGCAAACTCTTTATTTCCTCTTCTCCCCCACAGTGTTGCAAACTCGAGGCTGCCATAGCCGAGGCAGAGCAGCAGGGCGAGGTGGCCCTGAGCATGCCCGCTGCAAGCTGGCTGAGCTGGAGGGCGCCCTGCAGAAGGCCAAGCAGGACATGGCCTGCCTGCTCAAGGAGAACCAGGAGGTGATGAACTCCAAGCTGGGCCTGGACATCGAGATCGCCACCTACAGGCACCTGCTGGAGGCTGAGGAAAACCGGTGAGGGCTGGGGAGTCTGAGGTCCCTTCACATCCTCACCCAGGGCTGGAATGGTGCCTCACTGGAATGGAATTCTCCAGGCAGAGAATGTTCAAACTGGGATCAGCTCAAACTGACCATTGAGTTTATCCATTTTCCCATTTTGTAGACAGGAAAACTGAGATCCATAGTAGGGAAGGGGCTTGCTCAAGATCATAGCCTGGTGGTGGCTAAGCTAAAATAATACCAGTATAGTGCAAAAGCAAAGGAACTTGGCTCAAATAGCTCCCTCTTTTTTTCACCTGCAGGTTGTGTGAAGGCGTGGGATCAGTCAACATCTGTAAGTTGGTTGTGGGGTGGGTGTGTGGTTGTGGGGGATGGTTTTCTTAGTTGTCAATAGTCTTCATATCAGGGTGCATCAAACAGAGGACTGAACCTCTGTCTGGATGAGGGAGACCAGAGCTGAAGTCCCTGGGATATAGTCAAAATATTTGTCCCCAACATGGACCCATCTGGAATATCCATGAATATGATAAGTTCTGATCCCCCTAATTGGTTCTACAAAATAGCCTATGCCCTTCTGTTACACATGGGTGACTCCTCATGTGGTCTCATGTTTTCATGAGAAAAAAAAATACTAGATTTATATTTTGATCATTTGGGGCCTCTGTAGGTAGCTTGATTTTTTTCTGCTGTATATACCCTACCAGGCCAGGTGCCTATTTCTGATCCATTTGTTTTGTCCACCTTTCCAGCAACCATATTTCTAGATGATTTATTTAGTGTGATCCATCAGGTTTTGCATGAATACATCTTAACTCCAGTCTGGCCCAAATAGAGTGAGGAGTCCAATTTGCATATCACATTCCTGTAAGAAGCAGATTGTAGTGGCTTTAGGTTTGCCTAAGACTCATGTTGCTGGTCCCTCAGAGCATGAAGAGAATTAATCACAGGTTATAAAAGATTCTGGGTCATACCATGTCTGAAGTCTAGAAGAGACTTCTGACCTGGTGTCTCTGTCCACAGGTGTGAGCCGTTCCCACGGTGGTGTGGTCTGCGGAGACCTCAGTTCCACTGTCTCTCGTGGCCTAGGGGGCATGGCCATTGGTGGAGGTGCCTTGTTCTCCCCTTCTGTAGTGGGGGCCTGTTCAAGTGCAAGATCTATGTGGTTTGCATAGACAGGTGTGGGACTCTGGATGGGTTGGGTCTCTGAGGGCACTGGTTTTCGAAGGGCAAGTCTTTTTTCTTATGGCCCAAATGTCAGTTTAATAACTTCCCATTTCAGGAGTATAGAAGTAACTCTCCAGTTTTCTTCTTATTGGAGTTGTGATTATTCATCAATTGTAAACTTTGGGTTTGGCAGGGAGGTAGGTAGAGGCATGCTTAGCATATGGGAGCGTCCTCATGCTCTGCCCTCAGATAAGAGGGGCTGCAGATGCTGCCTCACATGGTAGGGGTATTGGGGGATGTGGGACTAGGGTTACAGGGAAGTCTCTCACTTTATCTGAGAGATTGGATGTTCCCTGAGCCCCTTACTGGGCCTCTTATGTATTCGTATATCAGAATTAAATGATTGGCTGAGGCTCATCAGCTGAGTTTGTACTGTTGATTGTGCACGTGTGATTTCCACGAGACTCCTTCTTTCTTCTTCTTTTTTTTTTAAGAGTGAGAGAGAGTGAGAAAGAGTGAGAGAGAGAGAATTTTAATATTTATTTTTTAGTATTTGGCAGA